TGGGCAGCCATGCGTGGCCAACGCTGCCCAGCTGCCTCCTGCCACCCCGCAGCGGGACAGGCCGGAACCCACGCAGCACCGGGCTGTATCGCAGCCCGTAGGATTAACCTAACTTTCAAATCATGCAAAGAAATGAAAAAGAAATTGTTTCATTTAGCAAATACTGACAGTAACCCCCAACTCATTTTACTCTTTAATTCCTGCTCTTCGCAAGCCTGTATTCCCCAAAAGCACAAATTTTAAGAGGAGAAACTATTTATCCCCAACACGTGCTAAACGAAAGTGGAGAGGAACAGCAGTGTCAGTCCCAGCCCAGCGATGATTACAGGGCTGGGACAGTCTGGGGACCCTCAGCACTGCTTTGCCACCTCCCTGCTCCATATCACGGCTGACCCTCTGCAAAGTGGGGCTGAAGTTGCTCCCTCCTTCAGAATCAGCTTGGAGCTCACAGTGGGGACACTCCACTGCCACTTATAAAGAGTGGCCCCGTCACTGCAAGGCACTCGGTACCCACCACCTTCAGGCTCAGAAGTGCTGACAGAAGGAGATGTCCTCGTCTGCTTGATCCCCCTCTGCATCACAGGTTGACCCCACGAGTGGCACGTGCCTTCTCCGCAGGGCATGCACTCAGTTGGCGAGAATTAGCTTCCAGCTCGCTCCCCAACACGTGCACCTCTTTATTTTTCCATAATTATTGCTGCCAGCCCGGCCGGGGCAGTGGGTAAATCCATGTCGTCCCAGCTGGACTCACCACAGATGCTCGCAAGACCAGTGCCCGGGGAGCACGGCGAGCACGTGCGCCCCTCTCCCTGCGCAGGCAGGCAGGCTCGTTTTGCTGAGTCGTGGTTTGGGCCGAGTCCCCAGCGATATCACATGCTCCGCATCTGCCGGCAGAAGTGCCTCATCCAGCAAAAATGTCAGCCTGCGCCCAAGCAGGAAGCACCTGGTGCTGGTGGGCGCGCGGGGTGCCCGGAGGGGTGGGGGCACCGGGACAGATCATTTCCCCTACAACAATTCCAACCGCTGACAAAACTCACCCCAACACTGCCCGGCACTTAACATCCCTTGGGAACGCTCTGCACAGCCCACGGAGCTCCCCGTCCTGCCGAAAACAGTCCTCCCGCAGCAGAGCCCCACCTCCCAGAAGCAGGGAGCTACAAATGGATGGGACAAGCAGAAAAGCAAGGCCCCAACACACACATTCCCAAACATCCACAATTCGGATTCTCTCCATTAAAACCGTTTTTCTAGTTGGATGAGAACATGACAAGGGGATCCGGGTTTGTTTCAAGAGGTAAGAGCTTTAGAGCAAAGCTGCAAATGCCACGGTCTGGGTTTCTCCAGCAGCTCCCAGCTCCAGCTGTAAGGCTGTGGCATCAGTAGAGACAAGGATGAAGGCAGTCTGGGGCTGGGCTTGATCCTGGCTTTTGGGGTGTCCCTCCAAGTCCTCAGCCATTCCCACTGGTGGGGGAATGAAGAACAAACACAAGCTGAACCTGCTTAGGCTAAACCGACATGCTTGGTTCCCACAGGCCAGGAGCCTTTCGCCCTCTGCAGCAGCTGGGACCATGGCAGGAGGGCAGCTTTTTGGGACAGGAGACCCCAGCACCCATCATTGATCACCCCACGGCCACCACTCGACACCACAAGCCTGTGCTGCTTCATCATCCCTTCCCCAGCCCTGCACCCCAGAGCAAGTCACAGCAGAGGGTGATCTCCAGAGCCCAGGGTTCAGGCACACCTACATGAGTGGTCGCTCCTACCCACACCCCTGTTCCTGTCCTGCCACTCTCCAGAAATCCACACAAACATTCCTGGCATGCCCCGGGCAGAGCATCATGGGTCAACTCTTGGCATTTTCCTGCCAACAGCTGCTTTCATAGAATCACAGAATATTAGAATGGTTTGGGTTGGAAGGGACCTCAAAGA